CACACACACACACACACACACACACACACACACACACACACACACACACACACACACACACACACAGACATACAGACATGAGTTTACACATGTGGTCTTGGTCATCCAGGTGCACACTCAGTATTGTTCCCTTGCCCTTAACTGCCTGCTCTGCTTGTCCCTTTCTCCTGCCTCTAAGGGGCTGCAGGGGTGGGGGCGATCAGCTTTTCATTCTCTCCAAAGCAATTTCATGCATTCGGTGAACTGATCTGTTTGGGTGCATACTACAAAAGAGTAGAACAAATGCATGTGTGCATGTGTGTTTGGTGAGATGAGTTCATTGCACCTCGCGATGCAACAAGCTGTGTTTATATAAGACACAACATAAATAATGCCAATAGCACAGACATCACAGCATCGAACGAGTCACACCCTGATCCGAGCGAATATTCCATTTGACTGGGTATGCACGGCCTCACTGACTTCCCTAAAAAGACACAAGGACTTGAGCCCGAGGGCACTAAGCCATAAGCTGAGAAAAACAATATGCAGCAACTCGGGGAAGGCAGAAAAAAGACGAGGGAAAGAGTCATGCGGCATCAACAAAGGGCGAAGGCTGGAGGGCAAGGGGGAGGCGGGTGGGCAGACAGACAGCATGCCACAAGGCAAACAGCACAAGGCAGTAAAGCATATAGGCTGGAGGGCATGGGGGAGGCGGGTGGGCAGGCAAACAGCACAAAACAACAATGCACACATGGGGTAGACGGATGGGCAAGCAAACAGCGTAGGGCAGCGAGGGAAACAACAGCAAGGCAAACGACGACAATGTAAAAACAACACCCGAAAAATATTCAAGTATAAACAAGGCAAAAACTGAAAAAAATAAATAAACAGATGATGAAAGATTGTTTCGTCGGAGTTGCACCGACTCGTCAGGAGGCTGAACCCTCAACAATCTGCGGAATCCCCGTATTTGATGGTTTGGGTCATGAACCCTTTGACCCTTGTTGAAGGCAGACTGTCCCCAAGCGGAACATAGCAGCGGGCAGCAACCCTGCGGAGCACCAGGCAGCGCAGTAGAGGCAACACGGCTGCACAACGCCAAAAATGACTGCAGGGAACGACACGGCACGCCGAACTCGCAGCAGGGCACCCAAGCAGTGAAGCACCAGGCAACACTACCAAGACAACCACACTGCAAGGGACGAGAGGGCAAGCGGAGCAGCAGCAGAGCGACCATGCTGAGGGGCCCAAGGCAACCCCATCACGGCAACCAAACTACAGGGCGCTCAAGCAAAGGACCCGGAAGGCACGACCAGCGGGCGGGCGGCAAGGCAGCGAAGCGCAAGGCAACACCACAACCCGGCCACACCACACAACGAAGACAGCAGCATGCCAAGAACGACCTGCGAGGCAAGCGGAACGGACAGCAAGGCAGTGGTGGAGCGCAGACGGGGTCGTCCACACATCCAACACGGAGCTAAGCAGCACATCACCTACTCACATCACGAGTGAACCCCACAGACTGTTGGTTCCCACCACCCACTGAGCCAGGGAAACACTCCGCCGAGCATCCGTCATCACCTACAGGCAACACAGACATCCCGAACCGAGCGGCCCCCCTAAGAGTGCAGTTGGCACTCCAAACGAGGAGCCACCGACTGTTTGGCACTACCTAAGGGTGCTCAGTTGGGGACACAAAAAAACTTAGAAAAAATCAGAAAGAGGACAAACAACAGAAGAAAAGACTGACAGACATAAAACTGATTGTGAGAGTGTGTGTGTGTGTGTGTGTGTGTGTGTGTGTGTGTGTGTGTGTGTGTGTGTGTGTGTGTGTGCGTTGTTTTAAAAGACCCCAGATTCTCTCTCTCATTCCCTTCACAGATCATAACAAACCATCCATAACGAAAAAGTATAGGTAGGCAGTATAATAGAAAATGCAGGGTTGGCGATGTTTGTGTGGTTCAGCGCCAAGCGCCCACACACCCGTCTGCCGCCAAAGTGGCACACTTGCACATATACATATGTATTGACGATATATATTTCTGTGTGTGTGTGTGTGTGTGTGTGCTGGCATGTTCACTATACACAGATCCATAGGAAAGAGCATGACTGTGCCAGGCTTTCATGTGTGTGTGTGTGTTCGCCTGACGCATTGCACAAATACTCCATGCTAAGTAACCTCACAGTAGCCTGCGATACGACCATCCGTCCCCCAGAACCTTGCCCACGTTCGGTCTCACATTTGTCTACCATAGTCACTTGTGGGAACCGGCTTTTATCACCCTATAGACTATGTAGGAGGACACGGGCTGGCAAGACCATTCCCAAAGCACCAAAAGAGAAGACCAGCAGGGTGGAAGAGACAGAAAACCTCAGACAAGAAAAGACTGGGCAAAGCAGCAAGGCAACCACATGAAGGACACACATAGGCTGGAGGGGATGGGGGAGGCGGGAGGGATGACAGTATACAAACACACACAAGGACACACTGCGGCATAGGAAAAGACCAGCAAGACGGTAAACTGCAACCAAGAAACCACCAGGCAAAGCAGCAAGGCACGAGCAGGGAGGCAACACATAGGTTGGAGGAGGTGAGGGAGGCGCGAGGGCAGACAAAAAGAAAGGCAAACAAAAGATGGTGAAGGAGAGGGCATTCGGCAACTGGCCGTAGGACAACAAGCAGCAGCGTAGGACTAGCGCTGGATGTGGGTGGGCACACAAACAGCACAAGGCAGTGAAGTGAAAAGACAAGGCTGGAGGGCACGGGGGGGGAGGTGGGAGGGCAGATGACACACGATCGCACCAAGCAGACGAAACGCAAGCACACCACCTAGACCAAGCAGACAACATTCAAGCATGCCAAACAAACAAACAAACTAGAAAAAAATACAAGTCCCAAAAAAAAAATCCAAAGACCGAAAAAAATAAAACTGATGATATATTGTTTCGTCAAAGTTGCACCAACTCTCAGAAGACTGAACCCTCGACAATCTACGGAATCCCAATATTGGTGTTTTGGGTCATGAACCCTTTGACCGTTGTTGAAAGTGCTGTCGGATAGCCCACAAACGGAACATGGCACCAGGGCAGCTACTCGGCGAAGCACCAGGCAACATTTCCCGGGGCAACCGAACTGCAAGGAATCAAAACTATTGCATGGAGCTGAGCACATGCGGACTGGCAGCAAAAGCAACAGCACAGCAAAGCAGGCAGGGGCATGGTAAACGGGTGGGTAGCAAGGCAGCACAAGGCAGTTCACATGACCAACACGGACCAAAGCAATCCATCAACTACCACACCACAAGTAGAACCCCGCGGACTGTCCGTTCCCACCACCTTCTGAGTTAGGGAGTCACTCCGACGAACATCTATCAACACCTATACGCAGGCATCACAGACATCAGTAGATTCAGTACTCAGAAAAGACCTTGGAAAAAAAAGGCGTAGAAGAACAAAGAAGGAAGACACAAAAAGCAAGAAGGAAGACATACATAACAATGATTGTGTGTGTGTTGTTAAAGCACCCCAAATTCTCTCTCTCATTTCCTCCACAAATCATAACAAACCACCCATAACGAAAAAAGTATAGATAGACAATACAATAGAAAATGCAAGGTTGCCCATGTGTGTGTGGTTCAGCGCCAAGTGCCCACACACCCGTCTGCCGCCGAAGCGGCACACTTGCACATACATATACATATATGTATTTGATCCATATAAGGGTGGAGGGTAAGAAGCAACTTACCTAAGACAGAGGACTCCACCAGCAAGAAAGCACCAACCCCATCCGGCATAGGTCCGAAAAGACTTGGAGAGCTCTCGACATCGGCCCACAAAACCACAAAACAGCATAACAGAAAAGGCTCCACTAACAAAAAAGTACCGACCGCACATCCCAATGGTCTTTAAGAAAAAATAAGGCCCTCTGCGGCGACCCACAGCGCCACCACAAATCAGAAGTACACCACAGGACCTGTACGCAACACCAAAAGTGTCATGAACCTCCTCCTGCTGCGCAACCTGCAAAATCGGATGATGTCCTAAAACAGGCAAAAAAAAAAAAAAAAAAGTTTAAAAAACATAAAATTTGACCCCAAAACCCTAATTTCAGTTGGGACCCGGTACTCAGGAGCTGAAAGTGGGGGTCCCCGTTAACCACTTGTGTGCTACAGCGTGGCCACTGCAAGAACTATGCCAAATTCCACAAAATCTGCATGCTACACCAGGAGCGCTACTGCTTAAAACACCTTAGAAGCCACCCCATGTCTTCCATGTGCTCCGAAAGAGCAGCCCGCGGGAATGACACCCAAAGCAAACACTCTGTGAGCCTCCTCGCAAGATATTGTGGCCAAAACCCCAAACTCCCACCCCAGGAAAAACGTGTGGCCACCCACAGACATTACTTCATCGACAAGACAGAAAGCAGGGCAAAGAATTAGGCCATGTATAAAAGTGAAAAAGAACAACAAAACACATACATCCACAGAGAAAGAGTAGCTCACTAGTACAAGCCCGATCCTAACCGCTCAAATCTGCCAAGACAGAGAGTTAGCAGACCAGGATGTGTGTTGTTAAAGCACCCCAAATTCTCTCTCTCATTTCCTCCACAAATCACAACAAACCGTCCATAACGAAAGAGTATAGATAGACAATATAATAGACAATGCAAGGTGGGCCACATTTGAGTGGTTCAGCGCCAATGTGACGCTGCTCTGCAGCGCGTTATACCACCACTCTACCCAATATCGAAAAGTGGCATTCTGGTG